TTCTTTTCCAGAATGACAGTCCTTGGAAGCAATGTTCCAGGGGTGTTTGGTTCCTTCCCGCAGCTGTAAGTCATTGCAGCAGCAGCACTAACCTGATCAAAGAGGAGAAGCACAGCCTGCCATAAGCTATTAAGTTAAAGCCTCAGACAAATCTCTGTTTTTGTCTGTCTTCAGCTTGTCTCCTGTTTCTTGCTTGTTCTTCATACTCATTCTGGCTTCAAATCGGGCTACACCAATTGAATGGAAAAGGGAGGGAAGTGTATTCCTGTATATTTGGGCAGAAACAGGCAGTTTTTACAAAACTGGGGAAGCTCCAAAATGTACAGTATTTTTTTTTTCATACATTCTTCTGCCAAAGTTACAGAAAAACAAAACAGAGTTTTTGGAAACCCGCTTACTTTATATAGACTCCATAACACACTTCCTCTCCAGGGTTCATACTTTGCTCTGTGGTGAAAATCTTCTCTTTTGCATTTGCAAGCCAGCTGCTGTTCAGTTGTCTTAGGGCAATAGCATGAAATCCCCTTTGAAGAAAGGATGTTTAAAATAATTTCAGAACTGTAATAAAGAAGTACCAGAAGACAGTAACAGTTGATCTGTTGGCACTATTGCTGAATAATACATTATAATACAAAAAGTTCCGTGTACTGCAGATGGGGGTACTGCTGTCCTTTGTCTTAGCCCAGGTAAAAGACTTTGCAAGAACAAAATCTTGGTCAAGGTTAAACCTTTTGATTTTTGATAGCTGTACCATTCCTTTACCGTATGTCAAGGCTGATGATTTTCAGTTACTAAGGTAGATGTGTGGAATAAGAACATACCTGTATTCACATGAAGAAGCTGTAAGACTGAAATGCTGCTGTTAAACCCAAATATTCTGCTTCTTCAGCCAGATACTAATCTATGACATTATTCTAATATTCATAGAATCATCATAGTATGATTTGGATTGGAAAGGACCTTAAAGATCATCTAGTTCTAACCCCCCTGCCAAGGGCAGGGACACCTTCCACTAGGCTAGGGTGCTCAAAGCCCCATCCAGCCTGGCCCTGAACACTTCCAGGGATGGGGCATCCACAGCTTCTCTGGAGAATGTGTTCCAGTGCCTCATCACCCTCATAGTGAAGAATTTCTTCTTTACATCTAATCTAGATCTCCCCTCTTTAGTTTAAAGCCATTACCCCTTGCCCTGTCACTACATGCCCTTGTAAAAAGTCCCTCTCCAGCTTTCCTGTAGGCCTCCTTTTAGTACTGGAAGTCTGCTAGAAGGTCTCCTCAGAGCCTTCTCTTCTCCAGGCTGAACAACCCCAACTCTCTTAGCCTGTCTTCATAGGAGAGGTTCTCCATCCCTCTGACCATCTTTGTGGCCCACCTCTGGACCCACTCCAACAGCTCCATGTCCTTCTTATGTTGGGTACTCGAGAGCTGAAAGCAGTACTTCAGGTGGGGTCTCACAAGAGCAGAGTAGAGGGGCAGAATCACCTCCCTTGACCTGCTGGCCATGCTTCTTTTGATGCAGCCCAGGATATGGTTGGCTTTCTGGGCTGCAAGCGTATATTGCAAGCTTGTGTTGAGATTCTCTTCAGCCAACAGCAAGTTCTTCCCCTTAGGGCTGCTCTCAATCCATTCTCTGCCCTGACTAATGTGCAGGACCTTGCACTTGGCCTTGTTGAACTTCATGAGGTTTGCACAAGCCTAGGTCTCAAGCCTGTCAAGGTCCCTTCCCTCTTCTGTGGTGACCACACTACACAGCTTGGTGTTGTCAGCAGACTTGCTGAGGATGCTCTCAATCCCACTGTCCATGTTGCTGACAAAGGTTTTAAACAACGCCACTCCCAATATGAACCCCTGAGGAACACCACTCGTCACTGGTCTCCACTTGGACATCGAGCTGTTGACCACAACTCTTTGAGCGTGACCATCCAGCCAATTCCTTATTCATTGAGTGGTCCATCTGTCAAATCCATGTCTCTCCAATTTAGAGACAAGGATATTGTGTGGGCCAGTGTAAAATGCTTTGCACAAGTCCAGATAGATGATGTTAGTTGCTCTTCCCTTATCTACCAATGCTGTAACCCCATCGTAGAAGGCCATCAAATTAGTCAGGCAGGATTTGCCCTTAGTGAAGCCATGCTGGCTGTCACCAGTCACCTCCTTATTTTCTATGTGCATTAGTGTAGTTGCCAGGAGGATCTGCTCCATGATCTTGCCAGGCACAGAGGTAAGACTGACTGGCCTGTAGTTCCCTGGGTCTTCCTTTTTTCACTTTTTAAAAATGGAGGCTATGTTTCCCCTTTTCCATTCACTGGGAACTTCACTGGACTGCCATGACTTCTCAAATATGATTAATAGTGGCTTAGCAACTTCATCTGCTAGTTCCCTCAGGATCTGTGGATGCATCTCATCAGGTCCCATGGACTTGTGCACCTTCAGGTTCTGTAGAAGGTCTCAAACCTGATCTTCTCCTACAGTGAGTGGTTCTTCATTCTCCCAATCCCTGCCTTTGCCTTCTGTGACTTGGGCAGTGTAGCTAGAGCACTTGCCAGTGTAGACTGAGACAAAGAATTCATTGGGTACCTCAGCCTTCTCCATATCCTGAGTAACCAGGACTCCCCTTTCTTTTGAGAGAGGGCCCACGTTTTCCCTAGACTTCCTTCTATCAGCAGTGTATCTATAGAAGTCTTTCTTGTTGCCCTTGATGTCACTGGCCAGATTTAATTCCATCAGGGCTTTAGCTTTCCTAGCCTGATCCTTAGTTGCTTGGATGATGGGTCTATGTTCCTCCCAGGCTGCTTGTTCTTGCTTCTACCCTCTGTAGGCTTCGTTTTTGTGTTTGAGTTTGTCCAGGAGATCCTTCTTCATCCATGCAGGCCTCCGGACGTTTTTGGCTGCCTTCCTCTTTGTCAGGATGCATCACTTGAGCTTGGAGGAGGTGATCCTTGAATATTAACCAGCCTTCTTGGGCCCCTCTTCCCTCCAGGGCTTTATCCCATGGTACTCTACCAAACAGGTCCCTGAAGAGGCCAAAGTCTGTTCTCTTGAAGTCCAGGGTCGTGATGTCCTTGATATGAGCCCCTGGTAAGCCGCGCATCTCTCTAGAGACTGTGTCAGGTCAGCAAATAAGTGCCTCTGTACCTCTCAGAAGAGAGTCGCCTACTACTATCACCTGCCGCCTCTTAGTTGTGCAGGTTGTTATGCTGGTAGCAGACCGGTCTGTCTTCCAGCTCCAGTGTCTCTCCTGATGTGATGGGTCTTTCCTCTTCAGTTTGCAGAGTGGTGAAGTGGTTCTGCTTTGGGGAACAGTTCGGCTTCTCAGGCTTTGGGAGAAGTCTCTTCCTCCCGCTGGTCCTTGCTGTTGCAAGCGTCCGGTCTTCTGCGTTATTGGCCCCTCTCACTTCTGTGTGCTGGTGGGGGAGTTTTCAGCTGTGTCATGTCAGGTGTGTGGTTTCATACTGTGTAAAATGAACCTTGAAGTCGTTTGCGTATTAATGCTTTTGTATGTAGGTCTCAAGTACAAACAAAGGAACCTTATACTCTGAATAATTTAATTATTTATACATATTTTGGGATTTAGGTTTGGTGGTGGTGTGTGTTTTTTTTCAGAGGCATTGAATTAGCTATGGATCAACAACGAGAAACCACTAGGCTTGTGATACTGCATTCTTACATGACCTTTGCTAAACCCGTGTGTGTTTCTTTCTGTTTTGGGGTAGTGCTGACCTTTGGCTGTGGGTAATTGCTGTTTTTAGAGATGAGCGCTCCACCTTTAGGTCTTTGTCAGTCAAATCTGATGAACATGTGAAGGCAGATGAAGTTTTTCATAAATGTGAAGTTTAGAGCCTTCTGAAGTCTTCAGCAGATTAAAGAGATTGAAGGAGAAATCTATATATTATCAGGATGCAACACAGTTTAAGTTTATGGGCAGTAAGACTTTATTGAGAAATATTTAAGTACATTCTTGATAAGAATTTTCAGAAGAAAGTCAGTGCCGTTGTGTTCTGGAACGAGATTGTTGAGAGTTCCCCAATGAGTCACCTAAATCATCTTTCAGTCCCTACTCTTATTTCATAGAAATTTCATAGAAATTTCATAGAAATTTCATAGAAATTTCATAGAAATTCTAGGTTGGAAAAGACCTTAGAGATTATACAGTCCAACCGTCCCTAATCCTCCATTAAACCATATCCCTAAGCAGTTCATCCACCCTTTTCTTAAACACATCCAGGGATGGGGACTCAACCACCTCCCTGGGCAGCCTATTCCAGTGGCTGACAACCCTTTCAGAGAAGAAATACTTCCTAACATCCAACCTGAATCTCCCCTGACTAAACTTATACCCATTTCCTCTTGTCCTATCACCCATCACTAATGTAAAGAGCCCTTCCTAATGTTACGGCCTACAAGTATTTGTAGGCCGTAAATCTGCTAAATTAAGTTATTTAATCTGCTAAATTTTGATTTTGGATTTTTTTGGTTATTCTTAAACACATAAACAGTTTTCTAAAGGGGAAAATATATTTTTTACTCAAAAATACATGAAATGTGAAAATCACTTTCAGGTAGACAAAATCTGAAGGAAAAAGAATGTCCAAAATGTGGAAGGTTTTTTTAAAAAAAAACATAAATAGAAGGGGAAACTGTATGGGATAAATAGTATTGATTGAAGGTTTTCTTCTAGAAACGTATAGGATTTTTACATGGTGGTAAAACATGATTTAATGAGTCATTTTTCAGAATAAAAGGGCTGTCTGTATGATTTTTGAAAATTGAATAGTGCAACCACTTGTTGTTTTGAACATAGAAGCATTAAACTTAAACTTATCTAATGGATATATTTTCTTTATTTTCAGCTATGATGTTATTTTTGCGGGGGGCCCTGAAGAACTGCTAAAGAAATTTCAGGAATCTAATCATAAAGTGGTGTTTGCAGCGGATGGATTAATTTGGCCAGATAAAAGGCTAGCTGACAAGTATCCTGTTGTTCGGAGTGGAAAACGATTCCTGAACTCAGGAGGCAAGTGTGATTCTTGCACACATGACTCACTTCTGTTACCTGCTCTCTGTATTTGTATGTGGAACTGTTTCTGAATTCCCCCAGTATAAAATCAAGGACTGGATTTACTGTCCTTCTCTTCTACTCTTTCTCCCAACTTGAATTGTTCCTTTTCTGTGCTCAAGAATAGTTTTCATTCAAACTTACATAGTATTTTCTGGCAATTACTTGTAAAAAGCAGGTAAATAAAGTAACAGCCTAGCAAGCAGCTGTGCATTGTAATGAAATGCTGTGCAGGGATGACCCAATTGCCACCAGTTGTTTCTGAAGTAGAGTCAATCTTGTGTACAAGCCCAGTCAAAGCAGTACCTGCTATTTATACGCCCAGTTCACCTGGGCCACAGAATTTCCTGACTTGGCTACCTTGTTCTCGAGGAGCTCTGCATACAGTGTGGATGTGCTGGTAGGTCTGCCTGGCCCATCAGCATAGTTTAGGCAGTTCATTCCAAGAGAAGTGTGAGTGACTCTTCTTAATCTCAATGACGTGGTAATTCTGGAGTTCTCCTTTAAATGCCAGCTTTGATAATAATTTTGCAGTTAATTAATGCATACACTGACACTGTTTAACTGCTAGAGAGCACAGTATGTCACTTCTCCTAGGTACCTGGTGATGGGCAGCATGTAGATCTGAGAGTTATCCACATTCCTTTCCCTCCCTTCTTTACACACCTATCTGCCCTATCTTTTTTGTTTTGACTTAACGTATGTTGGTTTTCAGTTGAATTCTCTTTGTAGTTCTGGCAATATTGGATTCAGGCTTCTCTGCCAGCAAATGAAACTTTTTCCACAGATGAGTTTCTTGGGAACAGTAGTAATCTAATCTCCTGCTTTCGACTTCTCAGGTCCATCCTAAACAGATCTGTTTCCTATTTTTTTTCTCTTAAAATAGCATTAGTGTAAAAGTAACCCTTAATTATGAACTGTTCAAAACAGAACTGGTACATACCACAGGAACGGATTTTAAGCCAAATTGTATGAATTTTCTACTCTTCTTTTGCTGGCACCAAACAGTCAGAATGAAGTCATTGACTGGTGGACAGTCTTGTCAGAGTAGTGCTTTTTTATGGAAATAACTTATGTGTGTGTGATATTGCAGGATTTATTGGTTATGCTCCATATATAAATCGTATTGTGCAGCAATGGAATCTGCAGGATAATGATGATGACCAGCTGTTTTACACCAAAATCTATGTTGACCCATTGGCAAGGGTAGGTAGTGACTGGCTTTCTCATTTCGTTCTGCTTGAAATAACATGCTGCTCCTCATAAAACATCAGGAGATGAAAATGAAAGGAAAACTGTCTCTTTACTCGAGTGCTATGTTGACGATTGTGTTTGTTCTCCGGAGGTTCCTACTGTCGGAGTGATGAACAGGCTTCCAAAGGGTCATGGCTTGATGTATTATTTCAGGCTGTCTGCAGATCCAGGCAGGTTGTGCTTTGTTGTTAGAAATAATAGCTCTGAGGTGTATGATTGGACACATTCATCTCAATGAGGGTCCCATGTTTTTGGCAGTTTGACAGCTGGAGAACACGACATTTTTCCAGGGTGTCACTGAACTACTTGCTGATCCACTGTTTTATATTTTGGCTTGCTGCCATTTCAGATCCTGCCTGCAACTGCCTCTCGCTCTTCAGCTTTTTGTGCAGATACGTTCAATAAAGCTGCATCATAAATTTTTGGTGAGGTCTTCTCCATGCCTTAGCTTAACAAAGTTCTCTACTGAGTAGTGGCATTAAAACATTATAGATGTCAGAGGCATGGCCTTGATGCTGGAAAAATAGGGCTGAGAAAAGTTAACAATGTATAGATGTAAAAAGACTTTTAGAAACTGATATTGCAATTTTGAGATTGATTTTGAGCATTTATATGCTTAAGGCAGATGTGAAGTTTTTCAAATACACGTACATTTTTTCATTGAGTTACCTCTGAAACATCAGGCATTTTTAGATACAAGTACAAAACCAGAATAAGAATAGAATAGTTCCAGTTGGAACGGACCTACAATGATCATTTCGTCCAACTGCCTGACCAATATGGGGCTGACCAAAAGTTAAAGCATGTTAAGGGAATTGTCCAAGTGCCTCTTAAACAATCGACATGCTTGGGTCATCAACCACCTCTCTAGGAAACCTGTTCCAGTGTTTGACCACCCCATTGGTAAAGAAATGCCTCCTAATGTCCAGTCTAAATCTCCTCTGGCGCAGCTTTGAACCATTCCTACGTGTCCTATCACTGGATACCAGGGAGATCAACACCTCCCTTTCCACTTCCTTTCTTCAGGAAGCTGTAGAGAGCAATGAAGTCACCCCTCAACCTTCTTTTTTTCAAACCAGACAAACCCGAAGTCCTTAGGTGCTCCTCATAGGACATACCTTCTAGCTCTTAATGTTTGAATTGGTTTTCTGCAAGTTAAATCAGATGCTGGATAGGCAATTGAAAGGACAGGATGTAGAGAAGTTAAAGGTGACTCTGCACCAAAGTCAGAAGTAATATAATTAGCTGTCCAAACGGATTGTCTTCTAGACAAAGAAGTGTCCTTCTGCACAGTGCACTACTCTACTGTGATTCAAAATGCCTCCATGGCACTTAGCTTGGGATACTGTACTACACTTCAGCACTAATTCTCTGTACGGTAAGGTTCAATGCTGTAGAATATGTAACAAAATCTTGGAAGACCAAAACAGAGTATGTTATCTGTATAAAGGTTCTTAAGTGTGTTTTAAAGGTTATATACTTTGATCAACATGTTAAAACTTCAAAACACAGTCCTTCAGATAATCTAGGTAGGATTAATAATACAATATTAAGAACATGTTTTAAAACCACTGGTGTTCTCTATTCTGACATGATACTTAAATTTGGCTTTTGTGTTTTTGAGACTATGAAACACAGTATGTTTTGTTGCTTGGCCAAGACTTGTTAATTTTTATTTTTTTTTTAAGATAAAACAAACTTTCTTTACAAACCAGATTGTAGTTTCTTTGGAGAGTTATGATGACCTTTATCCTTCAAGTTTAGATAAAGTTTTTGCATATATAAAACTGATTGCTATACAGCTGCACAACTCAGGGATATAGAAAAGTTTAAAAATATAAAACTAAGAATTATATCTAAGAGCTGAATATATAGAGAAATTTTGCCTGATTACTTGCTGCCACTGCAGTATAACATTACCGTAAAAACATTGGCTTTTAGAACGTCTCAACATCTTTAATGCCTTTATTTCAGGAAAGCATTAAAATTACTTTGGACCACAAATGTACAATTTTCCAGACCCTAAATGGAGCCGTTGGTAAGCGTATGATTTGCACATTGTGTGTTTTATTAACTGTTATTAACACTTCTATTGCTTAACTATGAATATCATTCCCAAAATATATGCTTGTTTTAAAGAAATATTTGCATGGGTAAACCTGATTACCAGATTAGTTGCAGATCTTTTGGGTTTAATATTAATTGATTTCTCCCATTGATAAAATATTTGATTTAAAATAGAAAAAATAGTTTTCAATAAGTGAAGATAGCAATAAACACAAAGTTAAAAACCGTTTTTCCATCTGCCTTTCGCAAACTTAATTGCAGGAGTAAGATTGATAATTAAAATTGCATTTTAGATGTTCTTAAGCAAATGGCTATGCATAATGAAATGAAAAATAACGTAGAATTTCCTTTATTCAACTGTCATGAATTTAAATTGAAAAATGGCCTCTGTGCAAACTTCCTTTCGTGCTTTTAACCTCCAATTATGGAACAGCTTTTTATACTCAGATCGCATCTGAAATAACTGTGATTTCTCTATAAATAGCATTTGCACAAAATTATTTTATTTTAAAATAGATTTTATTAAAATTCCTAAGTCTGCTGTGGCAAACTCTGAGGTTTGATGTAGTCTTATTTAGCATGAAGAGCTTAAAATTCAAGATCTAGTGAAAAAAATGAACAAAATCTTCCAAATAAGTAACATTGACAAGGATAGCAACAGCAAGGTATTTTGTATCAGCAAGAACTTACAGAACTCTGAAACTTTAGCTTTTATTTATAAACTGTTATTGCTGTATGATATTTGTTGGTTTGCAGATGAAGTCCTTTTGAAATTTGAAGAAGGAAGAGTAAGAGCAAGGAATTCAGTGTACGACACATTACCAGTCACTGTTCATGGAAACGGTCCAACTAAAGTGAGTGACTGTTCTTATTTTTGTGCAAAGACAGCAATTTTAATAGAGGCAAAAACAATGATGAAAGAGTCTGGAACAGTCATAGCACACCACCGCTGCTTGTTTCCAATTAATGTTAATAAGAATTGCAAGGATAAAACCCCCATTCTAATAGCTCTCTCCATTGTGTTATTCTGCTGTCACTGTAACTTGATATCACTGCTGAAACAACTCATTCTGCTCCCAAATTCATTGTAGCATGGGATATTAGAAGCGATTGAGCTTATGTTAATTTATTCACTATCACAAAACAGTTCTTAAAGCTTGTGAAGAATGTCTGTCTGGTTATTAAATGGTGATCAGAAGAATAGGTTTTCAGGGGGAGAAAAATCTAACCAAGAGTCATAGGGTGGGTACAAAACAGTAACACATCTGATCCTACCACAGACCTTGCTTTGCATACACACACACATATATAAAAAGATATTGTATATAGGCAAAAATATATATATGTGTGTGTGCGTGTATAGATACACACGCACAGCTGTCTTTTGGTGACACCTTCAGTGTCATGGATCGTTACCTACAATGTACCCATAGCTCATGAGCTTTGGGTTCGTGGTAGACCTCTGTCTGCCCTATGAAATAGCTGTTTTGGCAGATTCTGTCCATGTGTAAGGATACAGCGGTCCTGAGGACCTGGGACAGTTTCTCTGGGAGAAATGGCTCAGTTTTGGTGATATGGCAGTTGCATTTTTTTTTTGTTATATGACAAAGAAGTGTAAAGGTGTGTCATTTCTAATAGCCTCTGTTGGCTGCAAGTTTGGGCATGGCTACTTTCCAGCTTCTTCAGAATACATGTTCCTTACTACTGTAGCTCCTTATTTTCAGAAAAATGCGTCCCCAGAGAATGAAATAAAGTTTGAAACTCATTAATATCCCAATGACTGCTGCTGCTTAGTTTTTGCACTGTATTTCATCTTTGGAATTAGTGAATATAATGATGCCATTATCTGTTTGGCTTATTAACCACTCAGTAGTGGTGAAATATATGACCAATTTTTTCCATGTTGCTACAGTTATTTTTGCATCAATTAAATCTTCAGTTTATCTATCATCACTGGCTTTGCTGACACTTTGCCAATGAAAAGAAAGGTACTGTATTTTACAGTTGGGCAAGCAGTTTAGGTTGGAACTCCTTACACTAATCCATGAGTTACAATACATTAAACAAAACTCAATCTCTGCATGTGGTGATGTTGTTTTAAAAACGGAGGAAACTCGTGCTGTATATCACTTTGTCAATGTAATTAGCTTTTTATGTTTTAAACATGAATTAAGAGGACAATAGTATAGTAGGATTGGAAAAAGTTTTCACTACTTAGTAAATCAAATATCATGAAAGTAATTCCCAGAATAAACTCCAAGATAACAACTTCAAGAACCTTCTGTTTTGTATTTAATATCTTCAATTTGTAAATCAGTAAATATCACTGGTCAGAGACACTTCTTTAAATTGGATACCAAATTACCCTGTCATCCTGACATGCAATGTTTTTCTTTTTTTTTTTTTCCTCAAATGCTTTTTGTGAAATACTAATTTTTGTAGACTCTATTGTACATTACTGAAATTAAGGTCAAGCAATTCTATTTATGATCTTTCTAGAATGATTTTCAATAAGCATAAACAAACATCCAAAATATGATAAAATGCAGATTAAATATTGGACTGGAGTGTGTTTTCTATGCAAAATAATAGGTTTTTTCTAACGACAGTAGAGTAGGATTGAGTAGTAGCCTTCCCTCAGGCAGACTTTCCCCGGCATAAGAAATTGATTAACCATTGCAAATGGACGTAGAGAAGAGTGAAGTTCTGCACAAACTTTCCATGGAATCCAGGAGGACAGGGCAGCCCAGACAACCCATTGACAGAAGTAGAACATAATTTGTTCAGTGCCTATTCAAAATGTGTTAAGAAGCTAGATGCTGCTTTAAAATGTATTCCCCTGACTGACTTCTGAATCTTGGCATGATTTGTCAAAAATACACTGGCTGGGCATCTATCTTCTACATTTTCTGTGTGTTTTTCATACAGTAACTCTTTGTTTTGTATAAAGTGTTGATTATTCTCAGATTTGGGAACAGAATTAAACTATAATTATTTTTTTTTTTGGCTTGAAATCATACCTAGCAGCTTTTGAAAACTGAATGATCTATAGTCTGTGTTGTGTCTTGGAAGTCGTAGAAGCATGTAGTTGGTAGTTGTTACACTTGCAACAAATTTTTGGTTTAACTAAAGCAATAAATGTAGATGCTAGGAGAATATAATCTCTGCTTTGTAAATAAAAAGAAGAAAAATACTTTACTAGCTATTTTTGTATGTTTGTTTGTTGTGGAGTGTTTGGTTTTGTTTGTTTTGTTTTTTTTTTTTTCTCAAAAAAAAAGACAGTCAATTGTCTTTAGGCATAAGAGATTCAATAACTAAGCCTGAATTCTTTAAAAGGTACAAATCACCATTTGCATGCACCTTTCATTAATCTGAACTGTTCACTTATTTACCAGATTCACTTGAATTATTTGGGAAACTATATTCCTAATGCTTGGACACGGGAAACTGGTTGCAGTATTTGTGACTTAGACTTACTAGACCTGTCAACAGTAACGGTAAGAATAATCTTCGCTAGAACAATACCCTTTTGAATGCAGTTGATAGGCGTATAGTGATTTCTGAGGCCAAATGTCTTCAGTATGCAATATTATGTTTTGTAGACACCTCAGGACATTTCTTCTGGTGTATGAAACTGTAAAGATGGAATTTGACTTTACTGGAAATATAAATACTTTTAGAAATGATTTGTGCGTGCATTTTAATATAGATTTCCCCAATATTACTGAAGATGATCTCACCCCTCAAAGCCCTCCAGATCCTTACCTCTGTTCACTGAGACTGAATGAATCATTTTTGAATCATGCAAGATTGAAGTGAATAATTAGAATTTCTGGGGAGGTAGAAAAACTCTTTAGATATTTCCAATTTTTAACTGCAGACCTACAAAAAACTTGATATGCATCAATTTAACAATTTTTGTTACGAATAGAGGTTAATAGTTAACTGTACCATGCTTACAGTTACAAAATAATAATAGAACAAATCTGATGTAATTGACATGGAATATCAGTTCAGTCTTCAGAATTCCTATAGGACAAACATACACATACACGTGGCATATGTGTGTGTATATCCAATATTTGGGAATGTATTTTGGCTCTTTGACTCCAAGCATGTCGTCTTTAGTGTCTTTATGAATATTTCAGCTTGTAATTAGTAAATTTTAGGCAGAGTAAATACTCAGATCTACCGTGTGGAAATGTAAGGCTTGTACTTAAAAGAACATTCTGATTATACTTAACAGGCTGTTTCCAGCAGCTGTTTCTTTTCTGTTCTGTATTGAAGGTTTGAATGAGAACAGGTCTTAAGTCATGTTGCAGACAGCATGAAAGAAGTAGTGGCTTGTTATCTTTGTAATGAAAGGACAAAGTGAAAGAGTTTGTGGACAATAAGCAGCTTATGGACTAAAATAAAAATTGAATAAAATAAAATAAAAATTATTGCTGTAATAACTTTCAGATTCTTTTTGTATCTTTTTTTACTTTTACTTTGAAGATACAACATTTGAATGGTGTTCTACTGAAGTAGTGTTTGCACTCCCAACATAACATTTACCTGAGGAAAAGAAGTTGTCTATGTTTTTCCTAATGGTGTTGGTAATTAAAACATGGTTGGGAAGCAGTTAAATCTTAAAAGCTAGTAATGGGGAGTAACTTGCAATGACTTACTGGATAGCTTCCTATAGTTTATGTACATCTGCTTGGAATGTGTCTTTCTTACAGTAATGCATCCTTTGGACTTCATACGTTGCTCACTCTGCCAGCAGAAATAACGAGACTTTTCCTTGGCCTCAGTGGAAGTGTTTACTTCAGGCATTTCTGAGTACAAGCAATATTTCATTTTCTGTACACGATTTCTGTTCAGGCCTGGCTGGTTGCTACTTAAAAAGAAATTTCCAGTGAAAAGAGCCATACCAGCTCTGTGCCTCTAATCATTCTTTCCGTATTGTTTTAACTTTCTGTATTGATACACTCAGATCTTCTAAGAATTTTTCTTGTTCTTCTCGTAAGCAAGTAGAGAATCAGATTTGTTGATCCCAACTACGTTTTGGACTTTAAGTTCCTTTAGATGAATTCTGGCATGAATGGGTCCTTGACTTGATGAGCTTAGGTGCTGCGAATTCAATGTTTTGGACTGGGCTTACCTACAGATCTTGACTTTAGCAGTGCAAAACAGATAAGCTCCACTGTTCAAGGAGTGAAATAATACTGATTTCCGTCATGAGCATAGGGATAGCATTCGTTCTGTGAAGGTCAAGGGTAGGTGCATGCAAGGTAGAGATGGGTGGAAGCATTGGCGTGGGTTGTGTAGGTTGGTCTGCAATGGATGAGCAGAAGAGCCCAAGGCTTTTACCAGGGTCAGTGTGAGCAGGTGCTGGGAGCATGGCCTGTGAAAAGCTGAGCTTTGGATTACCTGTGAAGGAACTGAGTGCCACATATGCAGAGTCTTTGGCTTAGTCCTTGTCCTTTTCACAGAAGCAGGACCTCCTGTGCTGATCAGCTGAGGTGCAGAAACACTCAGTAGCTGCTTTCTTCTGCTAATGTCAGCAGCCTGTGGGACTCCAAAATTAGCTCCCATACTGCTCGGAACAAAGCAGGGTCACAGAAAATAAGTTGAAGATGCACCTTGACTCAATAATTGTGAATTATTTCCACTTTTCTTAAGGATTTTTTTGCTAGAACCTAAATTAAATTGAACAGACTTAATCTTCCTAGAGCTACTTCTTGAATCCTGAAGCTTGTTACTGGCGTGGAGACTGCCTGGTGTGGGTGGAAAGGTTGACTTTGCCCACTCTCTCACTTCACTGGTGGCTCTTGTGTCAGGAGTTCCTGGACTGCGCTCTGTGTAGTCGTACTGAGGCCTTGTCCTGTATTTCGTCCAAAAATTGTCATATGCTCATCTACTGCTTGTGAAAAAGTAAACTTTAAAAGGCAAATGTATGACCTTAGTGAAAACGAGAAAATCTGTCAGGGAAAATACAACCTCCTGGTGCACACTGGGTATTTCCAAAGTGTTTTTGCTGAGGCATAACTGGGAAAAACCAAAGCTTCTGACTTGATATACTAAAAATGCTGGTTATTAACATTGTTCATTTTGACCTACATTCATGTTATTCAGTGACAACTCTTTATGGTGTGGTGAACCAGAGTCTAGATTGATGAACGCTCTTCTTTAAGGAGATGCAGTTTGCAGTAATTTGAACTCTTGATTTTTAAACACCTTTTTGCTTCGGTCACGCTCCTGAGATTTTAGTGTAGAGCCAAGCGGTTCATACTTCAATACTACTGAAGGATCATTAGTAATTCCTCATTGTCCCTATAACCTTTGCAGATCTTGCCTGAACCTGCTTCTCTTTGTCCTGGAGGTTGAGGAAAATGGCTTAGAATTAGAGAAATATGCAAAATAATTTATTGCAGCAGTTCTATTATTGGTAGCACATGTGCATGTTCAGCTTAGCAAGCCTGATGCCACACACGGCTTTCCTCACTGCTCGCAATCAGCAGTACCAGTTACCATGACACCAGCCTCAGTGGAGTGGTTGCCAGCGAATATCACGGTTGCTTTTTTCAAGACACGTCAGTGTACTTGTCTTTGTCAGCTGTTTTGAAATTATTAGGATGTCTGCATGAGTACGTATTAGGTTTGCAGATGAAGTTGTGAATAGGAGGTAGTCAGGGTAAACATTGGTGCCTAATGTTTCCGACCTAGTGCACTTGCCAGTATGTTTCTGGATTTCCGATGCAGACAGTGACACTGTGAAATCTCAACATGCCCTGATGGTTTATCCAGCTGCTTTTCAAGTGGGTGTTGGCTTGCTTAAGGAAAGCTAACTTTTGCAGCCTTTTATACTCATATAAGGTTTCTCTCTGAGCCTCGTAGTGGGTTAGACGTTTATACTAACTGTCTGTTTTAGAGGTGAAAAAAATTTTTGTTTAATCAGTGCATTTCTTTGTGTGGGAGTCAAGACCTCTGAAGGTTAAATTTCTTTGTCTTGAATAATGTAATAATACATTTTAGGAATACACAAAGTGCTGTCTAGGTTTGTTTTAGTGGTCGTGATCTCTATATCAAGCACATACAAACCAGTAATTAATACCACTGTTCGAAAGATGTGAATTCACATTAAAATAAGGTGGATAGCTCTTCAGTATCCGTGGATGCAAGAGGAGAATCTCCAGTTAGTTCATCAAAGGTCTTGATAAAATCAGTAAGTAAGGAAGTAATGCAGACTCACTTGTAATGATCGAGGGAAAATAGTGCGTATAAGTGTATGGAAGGGTATTACAGTCTTTGGCGTAAATTACAGATCAGTAAAATATTTTGTAGTGTTTATTCTTTAACTACTTTTAAAAAAACTGGTCTTCCCTATATTTTCTTGTAAATTTAACATATATATGTATGTTACTTTCAAAAAATGAATTTGCCATGCAGCTCTAGCTATATTTCCTTAAATAGTTTTTTCCCGTTTTAATATTTTTTTAAAGTAAGAACTTTAAAAAACATAATACATTATTTTCTACTTCCTGTTCCTGTTATTGGAATTCAGAGAGATTTTAGCAATATTAAATCCATTATCTTTACTTATTTAGTGAAGTCAGTGAAAATAAACAGAGGGGACAGCACTCTTGAGCTAGTTGGTTTTGATTGTTTGAAAGCTGTGTGGCCTAAGTTACTGCAACATGACATTAGTTGCTTTTAAATATGACTAATCTTAGAAAGGAGGTGAGTCTTATTGGTTGTGTCAAAATATCATTTTTTTTAGGAATATCCAAGAGTAAAAATTGGTGTTTTCATTGAACAACCCACTCCTTTCCTACCTAAATTTTTAGACAGATTATTGACTCTGGACTACCCAAAGGAGGCACTCAGTATCTTCGTTCATAATAATGTAAGTATGATGTTATTTTTGTGCAAAGCTTCAATTTTGGAAATTATGATATGAATGAAAGTGTGTGAGGGAGTATATAGATTCTATGTTTGTATATAGTTAAACTGCATAGGAAGAGATAATCTTTCAGAATTTGGTATGCTGAAGTGAAAAAAATACACAAACTAAATGAAATTGTGGCCGTGCTGACTGAAGTCTATTTAAAGAATCTACTGAGATTCTTTTAGTAATGAAAAAATTGTATTTTAAACTTTATGCTTCTGGAGGAAGTACTGATTGACATAAAACAATAGAGTAGAATGAGAACAGTTACAGTTGGAAGGAACCTACAGTGGTCATATAGGCCAGCTGCCTGACCACTTCAGGACTGACCAAAAGTTAAAGCATGTTTTCAACTGTTTTCCAATAGCTGACATTGGATTTGTTTTTCATCTTGTTGATACCCCAGTGCATTTATGTTTCTCTTGGTTCTCCTTCTGGTTGCCGTGGGAAAGACTGGTGTGGCTAGGTATATTTTGATTGGCAGTGCAGATGAGTTGCTTTTTTGAATATTTTTTAATGCTTTTTTCTAATTACCTAATGATCTGGTGTTGCTGATACTTCACCAGTAACTTCAGTATTGCTGTTTTCATGAATAAGGTGACAAGTGTGTGTAAGTCTGTTGGAAAAACAATGGACTGGAAGAGAAATGGGAGGGAAATATAATTCTGTCCGTTTTCACTTGGTGTGCACTACTGTTGATATTGTAGCACAAAAGGCCTGAGTAACAGAAGCAGAGCTTTTCTTTAAAGTCTTCAGTGTGCTTTTTTTTTTTTTGTTTGTTTGTTTTTTTATCATAGAGGGGGGAAAACCCTACCCAATATTTTAATTATTCTAATGTCAGCCATAATACACAAAATCTACAAATGAGGGTACTGGGCTGGAAGCATTGCGTGTGGCTGAGGTTTCTTAAATTAGAGGTAGGGTAATTAGAAATTACAGAAACAATCACTGGGACTACATTTTAAAGGAACAATGACTATGAATGTCCACCTGGGCACAGGTGACAGTTCCCTTTCTGAAGCCATTCTGGATTGTTATAAAAAAACTCCTGTGTGCCATGGAGGTTGTGGGATGGGTTTTGAAGAGTGTTAAATAAATATCCTGAAAAAGTATTGCATAAACAGTCTGTGAATCTTGCATCATTGGTCTGGAGTTACAGCTTTGGTTTGTATTGCTGATGTGTTGGATTCTTTTGCTAAAATTTTGGACAGAAGAGCTTCATTTTAATGATAGATATACTGGAATATCTTCAAATACTGTTTGCCATCTGTTTGGTTAGGATAGAATACAATATGTTCTTGGACACTATGTTTATGATTTCACAGCAACTTGTACTTTTAATTCACTATAAACAATGTTAACATGATTACAGGAGGTTTACCATGAAAAGCACATCAAGAAATTCTGGGAAAAAGCCAAGAACATTATCAGAAATATAAAAATTGTTGGACCTGAAGAAAATCTGAGTCAAGCAGAAGCCCGGAACATGGGAATGTAAATTCTAATTTATAAATCTGTTATAATGATGCATACACTAACGTTTTTTCATCTCTTATGTAGATTATTTTGCATCTTAAACACTAACAACTTTACATCTTAAGATACAAAAGTGGGAGCTTTTGTAGTAGAGCAGGATCTAGATATATGAACTGTTGAGTATTTTATGATTTCTGTCTAATATAAAAAGCTGTTGGTCATTGTGGAAACATCTCTCTGGTTTGGACTGCTTTGATAGTCTGTCATCTTGTCTTCTAATGAAGGCATAGACAATAGTAGGCTATAAAGATATAAGAGGGGTAAGATTATTTTTGTGTTAGTTTTCTCAAACATGAATCTATATTGAAACGTGATAAGCATAAAGTGTAAAGTTGAAATATTTTTATTAAAAAGAATACTATTGAAATAAAATAGATGGTACAATACAAAAAACTTTAATAAAAAGTTTGTGCAGGAAATTATATGTAGCAGTAATTTTTAAAAAAAATTAAAGCGGAAGCAGATGCAAATATAAATAGAAATTCTAATTGCAGAAATTCTTATTGCAGTGTATCTTCTAAAAATGTATTAGGTTTTATTCTTTTATCCAATACCTTTTCAAGCTAACTTATTACAGAGTGTTTTCACAAAATAGAATTACCTCTTGTATTAGGCATTAAACAATTGCACTTTTGTTGTCCTAGTCTCTCCTCCTTTTCTTTTTTTTTTTGTTTTTTTTTTTTTAAATGAGATTACATTTCAGTAAAAATATATTTAAAGCTTGACATGGGCTTACAGGTGACAGAATTACATTTCTTCCTATGGTTCAAAGAGACAGGAATATCCTTTAGAAGTGCTCTAGCAGAAGTTTCTGCTTTCGGGGGGCAGGGGGGAAAGGTCTTACAAAGGCAACTGACTTTATCTTATCCTTGGCCTTGCTTTTTTTTTTTTTCCTTTTTTTTTTTTTTTCTTCATTTATACTAGGGAATTCAACTCTTTGGCTTTTAAACCTGACACTTGCCAGGCCCAAATCTGAACCTTGTATTCTGTGTCAGACCTGCCTGTCAATGGGTCTTTTTGGTGACTGCAGCGCTGACTGCTACCACAAAGTTGCTCATGGCTCTCCCAGTATGTCCCTCAGTCAAATTATGGAGTTCTACAGACTAGGATCCCACCAAGACCGTGCTGTGGCCCTTGAGCAGGCTTTGTTCTTGCATAACTCTTCCACTCCCTTTTCTTCGAAATCTTCCATGAGTATCAGAGCAGAGAAATTATTTTCATAAGGCCCTGTTCTTTTATGTTCAGAGGTTAAGAGCGCAGCATAGGCTGTTCATGGCATCCACTGAAAGAATGAAGAACTGACTAGTCCTGAGTCTCCACGGTGTTCTTGGAAATTTGTTTGAATGGGGTTTTGTTGTGCTGAAGCCACTGGGAAACTGATATTTGGCTGAAGTCCAAGCCTCTCCATAGCCTTTCTAGGAAACACTACAGATATCCAGTGGTAGTGTAAGCAGCCATTCCCGTGTTTATAAATCATTCTTTCTGTATTTCCAGTAGTCTCTAAAGCAAATGTACTATGTTTGCAAACTTTTTAGTTGCAAAAGTAAAGTAAGTTGAAGTAGTCTGTGTTATGTGTAACTGAGGTGGAATTTCTGGAGTTGTCTTTTCCTCTTTGGTGTTATATAGGCACGGTAAGGCAGAATCTTTAGTGTAAACAATTCCTATACTGTTACTAAATCTCATGCAAAGATCTTTAAACGTGTCCTTTTTTGATGGAACCTACTGACTTATAATGTGATGAAGGTTTTAATATGATATATGGTCTTTGCTTGATCTGTGGATAAAAAAATAGTAATTTAAATGTTTATTTGCACAAAATCATTTAAAATTCTATTATGTAAGGCAGGGAGATAATCACACTTATGACGTGTGCCGCTGGATACACTACACTGTGATGTGTTATCCATTGTCTGCGTATAATTTGACCCATGTTGCTCCTTCTTTGAAAGGCCTCTTTATTAAAGTTTCTCTCCTAAAGAGATATGTGGCATATAGAGAAAAAGTGAAGCATAATGCATGTGAAATAAGACCATGCCAAAGTACTGACTCATCCAGAAAGTATGACTGTTAGTAGTAGGATCTTTCATGAGAGCAATGTAGTAATAATTTGGTGGCTCCTTTCAGTTTGTCTGAAGCAGGTTCAATTCATCCACTGCTTCCTGTGCACTCCTGGTCTACTTGGTTGCCCTTGTGAACGTCACCAGCTTCTCTGAAGCAACTGCATTTTTCTTTTCCTCAAAAAATCTAGCTCGGAAGTATGGGATGTTCATGGTAAAGGCAGGTCCTATAAACACTTATTTGCTTTCAACCCTTCAGCTGGCTTTGAACATCATAACCTTATTTGTTTCTCATTAACACTGCAATGGGAATAACTTGAAAAGAGTGATTCTTCAAACCTGTTTAAGGGCTTGATTTAGAGACTGATATATTCAGTCTTCTGATTAATTATCTCCTGCCTCTATTTGCATTATTGACTGATAGTTTTGTTCCATCTGTCTCAAACACTTGCTTTCTCTCTTTTTCCAGATTAGCTGATTTTAGTATCTCTCTGTTAATTTCTGGTAGATGTAGAATTCATTTGGTCTCCTCGCTTGCATATTTCACACAAAAAAGTCTATTCAGCCGCAGCAGCAAAACAGGCTTTGATTAATACAGTTCAGTGCCTAGTGACAGAATTAAACAAACAAACAAAAGGCAGAAGTTAAGCATCGAAGGTCTGATGTGTTTTCAGCAGAATACTTTTGAGTATATAATGCAGTTGGGTTAGTTTTCTCCTTACCTCTTTTTCTCTTTTTGGCTTAGTAAAAAGTGATGATAACTCACAGTGGTGTTCTCAGTAAATGAGGCTCTTATGTCAATATAAATGTGAGAAAATAACACTCTTTAATTTCACCCATAGCCATGCAGCAAATATCTGCCTACTTTTCTCATTCACATAAAGAATAATTGAAGCATTTACCTTCTTGCTACTTCTTGACTTGAAAGCCCTCTCCTGCCTTTGTGTAAGTCAGATAGGTGTTGGAAAAGACCTAAAATTGTGCAGTCAGTAAGACTTATTACAGTTCAACAATATTGGCAAATAGGAGAGCACAGCTTTCCTTATTGTGGGCTGAAACAGAATTAAATGGGAGGAAAATAAATTAGAATATAGAGAAGGAAATTTTAGCTGTATGTTATCTGAGTATTTTATCTGCACGTACATCCATTGAAACCCTAAAATAGCATTTCCGTGTCCTTTTTTTTTTTTTTTTAAGCCTTTGTCTGTGAGGGCTCTATTAGAGTTCTTACAGTTGGTTCTTTTTTTCTTTAAGAAAAACTCATTTGTGGTTTTGCCTTGTTTGGAGATGAGATTTCACCCAGCTGTTACAGAATTTGTTATGACAGAAAATGTAAGATAATATGAAATATGTTCAAGCAGTAACAGAAAGTGGGGAAATATGGGAATTTATCTCATTCACTACTCTGAGGTTTTCTTTATAAAAAGCTTATTTTCCATAATCTTTTTTTCCCCTAGTACTTATGGACTTAAGGATTTCTTTTTTTTTTGCGGGGGTTGTTTTCTACCCCTCTCAAAAATATTAATAATAGAACTAGCTAGGATTTTTCCTGAACTTTTTTAAAAAATGTGATTTACCTCATCTTTAGTGGGAATGTGTACTTTTTAATCAAAGTTTACATTGAAAGCTTTCGAAAGTTTCAGGAAGAATAGTAGAGAGTATCAGAGAGTTCAGCTCAAAATTCAACAGTGAGGTCAATGAATTTGAGGTCTTCTATGTGCTTTTTGAAAGTCAGAAGATAGTAAGGTTGTCTCTGAGCTCGCCCTGGTAGTGATAAATGGTGACACAGAAGCAGAAGGACTCCTTTTCAGCTTCGCGAGTAGGGCAAATATCTTGGCCATGGTTTTAAAGGAAGAGCCGGGATTAAATCTGTGTCTCCCAGTTGTCAAGTGATTTCTGTTGGTGACTTAGATTTTCTGGAACTGCTTCTCCTGAACACTTCAGCAGTTTTGGATTTCATCCTTCGATGGAGGAGGAACATTTTGAACTTTGAGTGTTGCAGAAGAAAACTAACTTCCCACCCATAATCTGATTTCAGTAGCTTCCAGGTGTGGTAACTGTGGTAACAATACTTCAGCCTGAGATGCAAAACTAAACTTCAGTGCTTTATCTGTTTTGGGGCTACATTTGTTTGGTTTTAAAGATAGGTGATAAGAGTTTCTTTATACTGTTGTGACTATCTGGAGAGATGCAAAATGTAATCCAAAGTGTCAGGCAATGTCCCCCAGTCTTTCGGTGAGTGTTGAAGACTTGTATCTGGGCACCTTATTTTTCAGAAGTCTGTCAAATGGTGTAAGTGCTCTCCTTTTGGGCTCACAGTCCATATTTGGAATTATATTTCCAACAGTTTGAGTGATATAAATATGATATATTGATTAACTGCAAATTCAAACTGTTCGTAAAAAAAAAGTAAGTGACTCAATGGTAAAGAAATGGAGTAGACTATACGTCTAGCTCCTTGGAATATCTCAGTGGAAAGACTGATAAAGAGAAGAGCAGTGACACTTTCCCTTTTCAGATGAGGTCATTGTTCCAGATGGCCTTGTGATTTGTAAGCAGAGTTAAACATTGCTCTGATTGCAAAATACTTTAAACTGATCTGCTGAGCTTCACTTCACACTTCCAACAAAAATCTTGGTCTTCTACTAAACTTTTGTTAATCGTTACATCGAAACGGCTTTAAGTTATGTACAAAAATAGAGTTTTCTTTTCATTAGTTGTTCTTGCTTTACACTCCACATGCTTATAAACTAAGTAGATTCAAGGTTTTAGCCATTGAATTTAGATTAGGATGTGTATTACTATATATATGAGTATTGCTAGAAAGCACTTTCCACTTGTTCCTTGCTACAATCTGGGTAAACATAATAAATAGTTTCACATATCATAGAATCATAGAATGGTTAGGGTTGGAAGGGACCTCAAAGATCATCTAGTTCCAACCCCCTTGCCATGGAGAGGGACACCCTCCACTACACCAGGTTGCCCAAAGCCTCATCCAACCTGGCCTTGAACACTTGCATGAATGGGGCATCTACAGCTTCTCTGGGCAACATGTTCCAGTGCCTCACCACCCTCAGAGTGAAGAATTTCTTCCTTATATCTAATCGAAATCTACCCTTTTTCAGTTTAAAGCCATATAATCTGGTATTTCTACATCTGGAGAGGTTAGCATACACTGTAGGAAGGCAATACTTTAAAGCATGAGAATATCCAGGATTACTTTTATTTCCTTGGGAAAGCTACTTGGGCAACATTGAAAGCCTAAAGAGAAGATGCATGAATTTCTTAAGAGTAGGCTTGCTTCATCAATTTTGACAGAAACTTCTACAACTCTTTTTCTGTATATCTGAAACTGGAAGTGGTTTATGGAGATTTTTATTAGTGACCTTAAAGTGCTCAGGCAAAAGTTCTTCTTCATGCTTTAAAAATAAAGTTTTGCCATTTGGTGATGCAGTTTTCAGTGCTGCATAGAAAGAAATAGAGGGGAAAAAATGAGGCAAAGTACAGTCAGAATAGTAGCCCTGACTTTTGGCCTTTTTATGTTTATATGCATACATAAATATAAATATATATATATATAAAAAAATATATATTATGATGTATTTTCAATATTCTTGGTTACAGTGGTTGAAGTTAGAGGTTTCATATTGTAGGTGATTTGTGCTACAGCTGAGTTTCCAGACTATTTAAGGCAGTGATGCTTTCAAAGTGTTCTCAATAGATTATTGAATGAGTGTGACTTAGACCAAAACTTTTAATTTATTATTTTGTGTTTTGGATTACTATGTGAATGAAGAACAGAAGGATTGTCAACACTAAACACATTGGACTAGTTCTAAAAGAATTCTTTGGCTCTAGATTTAAAGAAGGGGGGGAGGAAGGCAAAAGTTGAAGGACCAGACATTTTAAATTATGTAATCAATTTTCCAGTCATGTTTGCCTACAACGAAATCTGTTCTGTTTGTTTTTTCATATTTTCATAATTAAAAACATTAATTCCATTCATATTTTTGTTAGCAGCAAAAGGTTTAGCTGCTTTTGAAGAGGTGCTGGCCAGTGTTTTGACTGAAATCCTGGGCTGGCATCGAGTCTGTCAGTCTCTCAGGGTTAGTTTCCTCATTAGTAGAATGAGGACAAAGATGCTGAGTATTTTTGAAAGAAATTTAACATCTAATGTCAAGTGCAATATAAAAAATCAGGTTGCTATTAATAATTGCAATTAATGCTAATAATAAAGCTACATGTGAATTGTGTTTAGTAGTTGTAAAGTTTTGAACAGAATAGGCCATAAAGGCTTAATTGCTGGACTGTGTTATGGCCAAAATAGAACCTCCAGATTTCAACTGGGGCAATTATGCGAGAAAGTGCTGATTAAGGAATTACTGTCGTAAAACCATGTATACATAAGATAGAAAACTGTCAGTGAAGGAGATGTTAAGTCAAGCAAAACCGGAAACTGACCAAAGATTTAAACTATGGGTGTGTGTCTAAACATGATGACTTCGGCAGTAGCAGGAAGACCATTTCTATCATTTTGATATTTAAAAAATTTGGCTCAAATCATTACTACATCTTTAGTGGTTAAGTTTCAAGAGGAAGGATTGCTTAAATTTATGGAATAGACACGCTCCACCTTCTCCTGTGTTTCCAACGAAGTCATACTTCTAAAATCCTTTGAACAGAATGAAGTTTGAACAAGAAGGACCCAAAAGGTGTTGATAATTAGTAATCCCTACAGGAGACAGTCGAAGTGCTGAGTGAAGTGCTGCATTAGGTAGTGGAGGGGAACGGAGGAGGAGGTGGCAGGAAGCCTTGACTTGTACGTAGCCTGTCACATCTGCCGTTTATCAGGTCTCCTGAAGTGACAGCGATCTTTTCCTTTGCAGAAACCAATCACAAATAGTCAAATAATGTGTAACTTAATCGAAAACAGTTGGTTTAGACATTTTAAAGCAAGAAAGTAAAATAATTTTAATGTTTCAAGCAGTTACAATGGAATTAATGCATGTTCTGTCAATAACAGTGGAGAAAATAGGCAAGATCAATAATACTATGTGTGATAGAAAGCTACTGCTTGTTCCAGCTCCTCTGAAAGTGTATTTAATTTACTATAATATCTTACTATTCTTTTGGCATAGGAAAGCTGAATTGATTATACCAGATCTTAGCCTAGCAAGTGTACCCTGCCAGAAACATACAAATGTAGTCTGTGTATCTTACTTTCATATTTACAGTAAAATGTGGCTTCTGCTTGGTTGAAGCTGTCTCTTGAAGGTGTGGAATCTATGCAAATGACTTATTCTGCTGGAAATAGTGTATGGGACAAGTTCAATTCCTTTTTCTAATTTCCGTTCGCCATCTGTGCAATTGTTTTATATTCCTCTTTCCTAACTGTGTTATTTTTCTAGGTCACAGGAAGACTAACAAAAGGTCTTTAAATAAAGTTAATGTGTTATTCTTCATAGTTTTTGTCTTACACTTTCTGTAAGGTTTCAATTACTATTCAGATCAACAGATCACATCTGTAGCATCTTTGCCCAAAGACAGTGTTACGTCTGCATGCAGTTACTCAGTAGAGAGGCTTACTTAATAAGCTCGTACTTCGCTATTAAATGACTGTACTGATATCCAGCTATGTAAATTAGTGGCTTGATTTTCCCTCGTCCCTGCCTTCATTTTTCATTAGGACAGTGCATAGTAGCTGTTACTGAACTTGGTAAAGGTTGGAGATCACTTAGTTTATTAAAAGAAAGATATAAGATATCTGACCCATGTTTTTAAATCTTCTTTTAATCACACTATTGTAATCTAAAGACACCTTTCTTTTACTATTCTACACTGCAGAGGGCTTTTAATGCAATGTAGGAGTAGAGCACTTGGTTGTGGTTTGGTTTTTTTGTGTTCTTTTTGTTTTGTTGTTTGTGACTCTTTTCTGGACATCTGTGAGTTAACCATTCCTTTTCATCTTTTTAGGGACCTTTGTCGCCAGGATAAAGCGTGTGACTATTACTTCAGCATAGATGCAGATGTCGTGCTGACAAACCCAAAAACTTTAAGAATACTGATAGAACAGAACAGGTGTAGTATATCTCTTGATTTTACAGAATTTCCTCCGACTTGAAGGGATTTTCTGGCATCCATCCGGAGGAATTAAGATCCCATCTGTTCTTGCAGAGTTAGATCCTCTTTATTTACTTGTGGTATTTGATTGCCATGGTTCATAACGGGCTCTGAGGCCAATAATTCACAAAACGTTTTATTCCTGTCAAGCAACAATTCCTAGTGTGACTTTCAAATGCCTTTTTTTTTTTTTTTTTCTCTCACCTCTTTGACTTTGTGATGCGTTTTGTCACTACACTATGGTTGGTATTTTTTTGCGTAACTGAAAATCAAGCCACCTCTGATTTATAGAAATCTTCGCTTCTGTTACACTGATGTTGTTTCTGGAAACTGAATGCTTGGATTGCTGTTTCTTCCAGCTAAAGTTCAGAATAGCTGCTCTGAAATTTGAGTCTTTGGCATTTTAACCACACTATACTTCATACTGAGGAAAGCTGGTGTATTTTGATGTATAGTCTACGTATAACAGTTCATATTTTCTTATTCAATGTGTCGCTTCACAGAAAGATAATTGCTCCGCTTGTAACTCGTCATGGGAAGCTTTGGTCCAATTTCTGGGGTGCTTTGAGCCCGGATGGCTATTATGCTCGATCAGAAGATTATGTTGATATTGTCCAAGGGAACAGAGTGTAAGTAATTGTAAGCTAATTTCTAAAGTCAAGACACCCAGTATGGCTATAAGCAACATATTCTTATGGTTTTGTGCAATCTGGTGTTCCTGAAGAGCTTAAGTTAATTTTATTGTTTAACTTTTTCTATTTCATAGGAATGCATTTGTTTTCTTCTTTTTTTTTTTTCTTTTCACGTTCACAGCTTGTATAAAAAAGCAAAGTGTTTAACACCATGAGCTGGTATTAGTAATGGACATAGCCCTTACTAGTACCTGTCTGATTGTGTCTGGTTACTCTAGCAAGGCATAGTACAGAAAATGGCAAGACAAACAAATAGCAAACCCCAAACGCTGTATCCCAGGGACCTCATTCAAAAGAAACGATTGTTGCATTCATCAAATAACTTCTTTGTCTCTTTGGGGTAAATGTTTAATCAACTGAACAATTACAATTTCTTTATGTGTTCCTTCCTGATCCCAAGGAGCTCTTGAGAAATACTTTTTTTCATATAGCCTTTCGGGTTTGTCCTTCCCCTAAATGAATGCTATTTAAGTTGTTCTAGACTTGACTTTCCCATGTGGTGATGCCTTTTCATTGCCCTGGAAGAACAAAAAGGTCTGAAACAGGTTGTTTGCTTGAATAAGACTGGCTCATTGCCGGTTGCACTGAAAGATGTGCTTGTGGCTCTGGGAGGGAGGAAATCTGCAGAACAAGCATTTTGGCAGCAATACTTTTTTGTTGATATTGGCCCAGCTGACATAAATACATGGCCTGCTATGGTCCGTGGGTGTGTGTGAGAAGGTCAGACCAGCTGTGTGAAGCCTCAGTGAAGTTTTTAAACTCACTTAAAACTCTGTTTCAGAATTACTTTCTTCATCTGGTAGTGTAGAATGAGTTTGATTGATTGACTTAACCATGGAAACATGAAGTACATTTGTAATTAAAACTCTTTGGAGAATTTGACCTTTCTATTTTTTATAACAATATTTCTTAAAAGTTGAGTTACTGCCTACGCCTACGTTTGAGATGTCCACGGTGTCCAGCTGTAGTTTTTCAAATGTCTTGGGAACCTTTCAGCTTCATTTCCTTGAAACTTGCATAGTATTGTTAGCAAATACAGAGATGCTGATTTGACAGAATAGGCAATAAATTATTTTTCATAGCTTTAAACTATTTGCATTTGTGTTTTATTACAGTGGAGTATGGAATATTCCTTACATGGCTAATATATACTTAATTAGGGGACAAGCTCTCAGGTCGGAAATGAAAGAGAAGAACTATTTTATGCGTGATAAGTTGGATCCCGATATGGCAGGAATGCCAGGGAAATGGTAAGTGTTATCCATAACGGCTTGCTTTTAAACACACACAGACTTCTTTGCGTCCTGCTACACTTGACTCCTTCACTTTATTGATCTTGGATATTATATTTTTACTTCTAATTCTAAGTACTGGCCAATTTTTGTGACATAGAACACTTCAGATGTATTTCTTTAAATTATTGAGAATGGAGGTTTTTGCAAGGCCAGTGCACTGGTGCACTGACTGCATGATGATTTTTATTTAAATGCGCAGAAAATTCCTATTGAGGTGAAAACACCTTTCTTGTTGGCGGAACCTCAACAGGATGAAAGGGGGCTCAACTTCTCTGCTGTGTATGACTTCAAACTTATCAATGCGTTTACAGCATATCTATTTTGCACGTTTTTGTACAGTGTGAAACTTCTAGCAGACTGAGTTGGAATATTTTGCAATTTTATATTTAAATAGATATATATTTGAACTAGTGATGGACAGTGTTGATATAAAAAGGCTGTGATTTATGAAATTGTATGAATCTTGGGGAGCATGAATTACTCATTAATTTTTCCAGATTAATTAAAATTGTATCAGAAATTTGTTACTTGCATTAAGCCATAAGTAAGGAGAGAAAACTTATTTGTACTGTAAAAATATGAATATGTAAATCCACATTTCTACTGATATTTACACTAGTTTCAGCACAGAAACAAATAAGGCCTAAACCAGACCTATTTCCAGACACTATAGCATTGAAAAATAATTTTGCTGAATTGAACAAGAAAAGTTGGCAAGTATTAATTTTTTTTATTCCCTCATAACAAGGCATGATCTCCTTTGTTTGTACTGATTCTTCAGAACATCCCCGTCCAATTCTGTTGTATTCAAACCTTCTCAGCATCAGTTATTGCAAACCTGTGCTTCCTGTGCGCTCGTTAAACTAATCTGACTGGCTCATCAGAAAATTGCTTTCTCTTTTCCTCTTTCTCAGTCTGTGCTGTAAGACGGTCTGGTACATGCTTGATTTTGTATTGCAGCAGATAAGAAGGGGCTGGTGGAAACAGCTTTGACGTGTATTTATGAGCTTTGCTTGGAGATGCATGTTGTCTGTAAAGGCATATCAGCTTTTGATCAAAGGCTGCTATTTCCCTTATGTAATTGTGGAAACCTAATAGTAGTTGGAAAAAGAGAAAGAGATTATGTATCAGAAAACTGATGTGATGATTCTCCTTCATTTTAGACTTTACAAAGGGAAAAAGACTCCCCTTCTTCGGAAACATTCCATATGCTCAGACCCCCAAAGGTGTTGCTTTATTTTTTTTATTAATTAGTTGTTATTACATGAAGTATTATTCTACCACAGGAAGATACTTCTCCTCTGTTCACTTACTCTGATGAAATACTGCTCTAGCTTTCTCTTCAATCTTCTAAGGTTCAAGTTTTCGCCAGGGACAGGTTCTTCATGGCCAGCTCAAAAGGTCTTAGAGAGGCTCGTTGTTCCCTCAGGGAGGTTTCTCAGTGCCTCTGAGGTCAAGGCATACTGAAGCTGTGCTTTCATAGCTAAAATTGTTTCAGCAGTCCTAGGAAGGACTAAATCTGGAATCACTAGCCAGGCCCCCTCCGTGATGACACATGGCAGTTGTGAAAGCTGTTTTTCTTGCCCCAGACCCTCCTTATTCTCCCTGCTGCAACTATATTATGAGTCAGTAAGTTCCCAAAACTGGGCACGTGTTTAACATAATTATCTTTCTAACAGTTCAACTGTTTTTCAGACAGAAACAACAAAATAGCTAAATAAGAATGTCATAACCTGCTACAAATCTAAAAGTCACAAACACTTTTGAAATGAAGTTTTAGTCTGAAAAACAGTAAACTAAGAAAAAAAAAAAACAAAACACAAAACCTAAATTTCTTTAAAAAGATCTATTTTCTGCTACCATTCTAATCAAGAGGGTTTTGTTAATATCTTCTGTTAATAGCTTGATAACAAAACTGTGTCTTACCACACTTGGTATCTTGCACATATTTTGCAATGTTTTCTTAGGTGAACATGTGTCATAGTGCTCAACTGTTTTGTACCCTGATCTGAATATTCTTTTATGCTGTATTTGCCAATATCTTTTTATTTCAGGCCAATTCACCAGGGGATCATGTAGTGAATTCTCTGAAATAAATTTCTTGTTCTGACTTCCATTAGCCCTTTTATTGTTAGCTTATTCTTCTAGGTTTTAATCAGAAACTAATCCCTAGGTGTTGGTTTTCTCATATGAGTATTTTCAGTTTGAGAACAGGTGCTTCCAGAGTGTCTGCTTAAGTTTTCTGGAAAACAAATCAACCAACCAACCACTTCTCTGTTTTTTTCCTTTCTATAACTGCATGTGGGTTTACATTATGAACAATATATGTTTTGGTTTAATGTGTTTAGAAAATAAATTCAATGAAATGCTTGTAAATAAGAAATTATGGACACTAGTTTGTGATTAGAATCAACCATTTGAAAATTAAAAATACTAAATGAACATCATGTGTGTATATGTATGTACAAGTGTCATACATTTTATGACAGTGCAGGCATAAACAAACAGACTTTTTAAAAACATCATCGTGCCAAGATGGATGGATTTGCTAATGGCATTTTCTCTGCTTGGTATAGGGTGTTTTCATGTACATTACCAACAGACATGAATTTGGAAGACTTATTTCTACAGCGAATTACAATACATCCCACTACAACAACGACCTCTGGCAGATATTTGAAAATCCTGTGGTACGCATCTAATTACTGATGAAACAGTTATTATAATACATAATTTTTACAATTTTTTCTAAAGGACTTGGTATTTAAAAACTCTACATGGAGAACACTTGTTGTTTATTGTGCACCAAATACTGGTTGTGTACTAAAAGATGTTCTTGACCACCTGTCTAAGCAAATGACAATATATCGTAACAAGCCAACTGATGATCAGAGTAAGGAGTTGGAGATGCCACCTGGGTCTAATAAGTTTCATGATTTTTGACATGATAAGAAGCAGTTCGTTTATGGGTATAAGAAATTGTTTCAAATGCTTTCAGTAGAGCAAACGAATAGAATACAAATTATTTTGTCACATATAAATTAATTTGTTCTGGTTTAATGCTTTAAAATATTTTTTTTTAGGACTGGAAGGAAACTTATATAAGCCCCAACTACTCAAAGATCTTCACTGATAATATAGTAGAACAGGTGGGTATAAGTAGTTTTCTTAGAATTTGTGGGACTGACTGATAGTAAGTTGGTATACAGTAACTATTTCCATGCAAATGCTGTTTTGGTCTACAGCTGAACAGCTTTTTGATGTTTTGGATCAGAACTGAGTTGTTGCTCTTTTGAAAACTAGATGAATGGAGTCCAAAAAATAATTGCAAGATTGCTCAGAGTAATGTTGTTGTCCAAGTAATTGCCTTCTCCAAAATACAAGATGTATTAGCTTATTTATTTGAACTAGCTAGTATCGCTAGCAGAAGGCCAAATAAAAGAGCGCTGTGTTTTCTGATATCTAGAGCTTGCCTTTTACTAGACTCTTTCCTCAGGGTGCGCCTTTCCCTATAGATTCTCTAAGGTCTGACGACCATGAATCCAAGGTGAAGCCTTTTGCTGGATAAGAAGAAGTTTGGGTTTTTTTTTGTCTGCCTGGCTGCTCACTTTCATGTAACTGATCTGGACAGAGCACTTCTAAGATGATAATTGTACCAGTGTTAGATGATCAGTTCTGTGACAATTAGGGACAGCGATTGTAAGAACTTTGCTTCCTCAAGAAGCTGGGATAAATTGTTTTTGTGTTTAAAACAATGTTAAGTGTAAACTTTTTCTTAATAGCTTGTAATGTAGAAGGTTAAGGTTGTTGTTCCATCCCTTGTTTGCTCTAAATATGTGGGTACCCTGACACAGCTGTTAGTGCTGGCTCATGGCTTATAAGGTAGCTTGTAGCTTTTGCTTCGTTCTGTGAGAATGTGCTTGTGGATCAAGACAAAACTTAAATATTTATAGTATCTGAATCATGGCTGAGATGAGAACAGCTGATATTCTTGAATGACCAAGCAAAATTAAGATGTCCTTTTTTAGCATTTGAAAATATAAGATAGCTGTTAAAGCTTAACTCCACTAAAAGAGATGAATGTAGTTATTTGATTTTTGGTTGTTTTTTTTTTTTTTTCTTTTATCTCTTAATGCTTTTGTAGCCATGCCCAGATGTGTTTTGGTTTCCCATATTTTCTGACACTGCCTGTGATGAATTGGTAGAAGAAATGGAACATTTTGGACAATGGTCTGGTGGAAAACACCAAGTAAGTGTCAGCCTATATAAACTTCACCTCAGGGTACCTTTATGACAGTAACTCAGCGAATTGCAACAAACAAATATTGTAACAATTTCCAATGACCAGAGACATCTGCTTGGTGGTGTAAAATACTTAGTTTAGTCTACCATATAGCTGCTTATTCAGCAGATTTAGAGACTTTCCTCAGTTAACCTTGAAGTAGCAAATTTGGATGCTAACAGTGGTGCAGTTGCTGCAGTAGTTACGTGACAGTTATCCCAGGCTGATCTTGGATATCTGTTGATAAGTGTTCAGAGAAGTTTTGTTTACCTCTTCAGTACTGATTTGTCAGACTTGTCCCCCTAGGCAGTTACCCACAAATCTTATGAGCTGTTGTGTTTGCAGAAAGTTCAAGGTATTCATTAACTACTGCTAAAATCAGAGGAGTGTTTGTGTATTCACAAAAGTGGTACCTTGGATACGAGCTAAATTAGTTATTATTTTACTGCAGGGGGGAGCCCCCAGAAAGGATTTTAACATAGTTTTATCTTCATATTTGAACATTTGTTACCATGTCAAGTTGCGGTCTGTATTTTCTTGATCTGGTATAACTTCAGTTGCATCTGCATATCAATAAATAAAACCACTACCTCAGGAAGCCCTTATTGGCAGGCAACACATCCAAATACTGACTCACCTTTTAAAAAATTTCCAATTTTTGCTCATTGATAGCTCAGCAGTTGTTTTTTCCAGAGCAGTTAGCTGTGAAATTACTGTACAGCAAGCTCAATATATGCCCACTAAAGCATTGCTTTGTTGCAGTTTTGTGATTCTGCAGATTTCAAATAAATGTTTGTAGAAGTGCCAGAAGCATTCCATGTCCATGTTTCAAGGCTGTTTACGGTGTTTTCATTAGGACAGCCGTATTTCTGGAGGTTATGAAAATGTCCCAACTGATGACATTCATATGAAGCAAATTGGACTGGATAATGAATGGCTACATTTCATAAGAGAGTTCATTGCACCGGTAACACTAAAAGTGTTTGCTGGCTATTATACCAAGGTATGTCTATAAATTTTTTGCAGATAGTTAGTGCATGGCATGAGTAATTCTAAGCATTTTATTGAATATACCCTGTTTGGTTTGGTTGGGGAGTTTTATACATGCTGTAGCAGTAGTTATAGATGAATGTTTTTGTTAACTCAACTTTAAACAAAAAAAAAAAAAACAAAAACCCTGTGTGTGACTTGGAAGTTCACATGTTGAAGTCTGATTGTATATTTTGTTTCAGGGGTATGCTTTACTGAATTTTGTTGTAAAATATAGCCCTGATAGACAACGGTCACTCAGACCTCATCATGACTCCTCTACATTCACAATCAACATCGCTCTCAACAAAGTAGGAGAGGACTTTCAAGTAAGTTGACAGCTTACTGACTTAAAAAAATGAATTTTGAGTGTCTAATAGTGTTTCTAAACTAGAGCCTATATGAATATACTTAAAGACCATGTTGAAAAGGAAAAGATGTGTATCACAAATTGGGATATATTATTTCTTATATTTTTTGACAAGTACTAAATTTGCTCCATTGCAGGATCCAGAACTGTTGATGCAGTCAGGCTGAATCAGTCAAAATGGTTTCAGATGGTGGAGGAGAAGGGGTTTAAAGAAAAACTTAGGAGACATTAGTCATTTAGTTTTTAACATTTCTGAAATGCTTCATTTCTGTACAGTGAAAGCCAATTTTTCAAAATACTTAGTCTCAAGTTGACTCAAATGGCACAACTTTTTTTTTCTTTACAACTTTTTTAATGATTCTTTTTTAGATTAGCCACAGAATGAATATTTTCCATTGTTATTCCTGTTTGTTTTCTGCAATGAGATATTTTCTGTTTCGATATTGATTCAAATAAAATAGACCTCAGAGTACGGAGACAGGCAGGGCAGTGGCAGTACTATCCAGCTTTGACTAGCAGGGCACTTAACCTGGTTTGTTTATAAACCTGTATTAATTAGTCCTACTTAACACCTGTAAGTGTGTTTCTCAAACTTACTATTTTAGAAAACACATCTTCAGTTTGAAAGCAACAGCCAGATTAATTTATTTAAGATTTGTTTAAATGCAATCTTCGATAGGGTTGCAGTCCTGGAACGGGGCTTGTGAACATGATTTGCTTCTCACTGGTATCATCTACAGTAAAGCTACTGAAGATCTGTTTGTCAGAGTTGTTGCTTGAATGAGTTGTTATACAGGGAATGCTAAGGCAAAGCAAGGGGAAATCTTTGATTCCAAATGCATGTCTGTTATGTATTGCTCTGAAGATGGTGTCATTAAAATAACCTTGTTAGTGGGAACAGTAAAAAAAAATATTGTAAACAGCCTATTAATAATAGCAAAATATTTTAAGTTGTGGATAAATAAAAAGGAACTCAATTAAAACAGAAGGTAAACGTCGGGGTGTTTGTTTTGTTTTGTTTTTCTGCAGGGAGGTGGATGTAAATTTCTTAGGTATAACTGCTCCATTGAGTCTCCCAGGAAGGGATGGAGTTTCATGCACCCGGGAAGACTTACTCATTTACATGAAGGACTTCCTATCTTGAATGGCACAAGATACATTGCAGTATCATTTATTGATCCTTAATTTTATTTTTTTTTTTGCCTTCTTCAGCTGTGTTTGATTCTTTACATAAACATTTATTTATAGATTTCTCTGAAAGATGGTGATAAAAGAAACTTTAAGTTCACTGTTCCTAGACAGCAAAGTTACTTTGGGCTAAAAGAATGAAAAAAAGAAAATGTTCTGAAATTGTTGAAGATTTCTCAGTATCTGCTCTGAGCCTTGGGTCACAAAGTAAACATGTCCTGCTTATTTTTCCATTCTGCTGTCTTAGAGAGTAGGTAAAGAGGGAAAATGGAAAAGCATTTTATAATGAATCCTTTTCTTTGTTGAAAAAAAACCCCAAACAACCATAGATACAAAATTACCTGAAAAATTTATTGTGGTTTTCTTTCAGTAAAGTGTCACAGCTAAAGTTTTTGTGATGTGTATATTTGGTACCAACCAATTAAAAATCACAGCATAAAAGCAAAATCCATTCAATCTTGTATACAGTTGTTGGGGAAAAGTGATAATTCCATATGCTGATATATTCTGAAGGGAAAGCATCTCAGTAGCCTGTTTTCTTAATTCATTTTCAATACTGAAATGTACATCTTCTGAAGAAAAAATGAATTGTGGAGATGGAGCAAGGATTAAATAATGTAGCTAAGTAAAAATAGTTTATAATTTGTTTTAAAAATTAATCCTGTTGAAAATTTACTTTTCTGCACCAAGTGACCTTCATTTAAAATTAGTTATTTTTCTAAATATGTAGAGATTTTAATTGCACCCAATTGATACTGGAAATTTGATGTTTATTTTCAGAACAGTGGTAAATTTTAATAATAGGATGTTTTATAAAGACAATTTTCTACTCTTACTTAAAATTACTTGAATTTTGTATCAGGAGAATGAATTTGTGGCAGTCTGTCTTTTAAAGCTAAGGATCTTAACTTGCCGTTTAAAGAAATAGGTTTAAAATATTCCTACTGTATCTACTGTTTGTAATTTAAAGAAACTTGAAACAAACTATCTCAAAGTCTACCGTGCCAAAATGCACAACATGTTGGAAAAACTTGTGAAAAATAAAGGGTAATTTTAAATTAATGTAACAGCTTTTACTTGACTGTATTAGGTAATTTCTTTGCATGTTGCTGTTGATCTTACAGAAATTATATTTATTGATGGATATTTTTAAAGGAATTGTAGGTATATTTAGATTGGAGATTTCTAAGTGTTGAGTTTTAGCTTATTTAGTCTGTTACTGTTGAAAATGTTTCTTATGTGATTTGGTGCCTGTGTACGTTACAGAAAGTGCATTACACTTTCAGAATGATTCCAGCAGGATGGATGTTTCTTGTTTTCTGTACCAACCTTCCTTTTTTATGTAGAGGCTTTTCGATGATCTAAACAGTATTTCACTTTTCACCTGCTAATATTTGAAGAAACTTTTATATCACGTTTCCTAAACAGAAGCTTTATTTGGAGCTGAAAGGATCGGGAGATGAGTTTAAAGATTATTCTGTTCCCCAAAATAAGCATGCCTGCATATTTCCCTGTTTGGCTGTTTTAAGGAGTGGTTGTAACCGTACTCAAAGTTATGCTAAAGCAAATACATCAAGATGTGGTAACTTGAATAATATAGTAAAGTGGACAGGCTTGAAAACGAATGGCTTTTCACAGCAAGTTCTTTGCTTTCTTTCCATTTTTCTTTACACTGTCAACTTTTCTCCATTTCAGGCGAATATTTGGAGGTTGATATCCCCTGACTTTGTTTCTAGACGTGGAACACCTCTGCCTTAGTGAGCGTCTCTATATATGTAGCCTGTGCTTAAGCAAACTTTACAGACCAGAAAATCTTCAGGCCTTCAGAATGAAAGCAGCCTTTGTTAATCACTTTTTTTCTGAGCATTTGCCTGTGGTCTCTTAGGCTAGCTCAGAACAGAATAATATTTTTACCACTGGATCAGCTACAGATAGTTTACTGTTATGAGGACCTTTCTTGGAAAAAACCCCACAAAAATACAATCCTGTAACACATAGGGGAAGTTCTTTTGCAAAATTTTTTGTGTAATACTTACTGTTAAATTTGTCTGTTTAAAACTATTTATTCTGTCATGTAGTGATACGTAATGCTACATTTACTGTGCTGCATGTTTGTTGGAAGGGAAAAATGTGTTTACCATGCTCACATTACTAAAATTATCTTGTTTTTTCTTTTGATGGAGTATTTTCAAAGGCTAACTACCGCCTTTCAGGTGGATGGCAACATGTATGGAAGTGTCCTGATTAATTTCTCAGGAACTGACAGATACCAGAAAAAAGTTTTGTACATTTTTTTCTTACCGGTTCACAGGAATTAATTCTGAAAACCATGCTGTACTGGTAGCATGTGAGTACATAAGCTCACACAGGCTAAAAAGAATTGTCACTACTATGAAATTATTTTTCATTTTCATTACTTTCAAAACACTTAAAGACTCTTGCATCTCCTAACAAAGTTTGGGTTTTGGGCACAGAAGCAGCAACCTTTAATTCCAGCAGTGTATGAGAAACCTCGGGAGTACAGGGACATAAAGGTGCTCTGCTATAGATGAGACATTTTAAAAGTATTTGCTTTCTTCTGCCTTTATCTAGCTTTATTTTTCGCTATTAAGTACTTGAAGAGACTGTGGTGTGGGTAAAGGGTGGGAGAGCAGTATAGGCAAGAGAATTTCTTAATATTTTTAACCAAAAGGAGACTGAGCATAGCTTGGTTTTATTTCATATTCATGAACTATTCTAACTCTGATACTTCTGAAAAATGTTCAGGGCATTCAGTAATGACGTTAAAGATTAAATGTGTAAAACACTGTGCAACAAGTAATTCCAACATGTATTTGTCACTTCATTTTTTTTTTCCCAAAGGATTACTGTTCCAGTCTTGTTGTGAGCTGATCAGAGTAAGACTCAAAGTAAAGTCCAAAAAGAATATAGATTTTCAATGAGGAAATAATAATGAAATCTATTTGATTGTACCTTTTTCTTTTGTAATGGCTTTTCCCCAACATCTCCTATATTCATGGAATAAATGTTAATTTAATACAGGGCTTCCACAACAGTTTCTCTTTTGCAGCATATAAGAAATAAGGAGACAATGACATTTAAAGAGATGGAGAAGTCTAGAAAAGACCCTTCCTCCCACATGCACATACTTGTTTTACTTTTGTTTTTCTGCTTGAAAGAATTTTTTCAGATTTTTCTTTTCAGCTACCACGATGAGTTTTTTAAAAAATATATGCGTTTCGGTTTCTTTTGATTTATTTCTGATATGGTACCTTTAGTGGGTTCCGTTCTGAAAGTGGTAAGTATTTTTTCAATCTTCACTTCCCTGAATCCTCACTTTCTTGCATGGCAGAGTAGACTGCCCTGCTATTTTTGTCAGTGAAAGGGAACACAATACCTGTCTCAGCAGCCCCCTGTGACTGAGGTGTCAGATATATTACTTGATTTTTTTTTTTAATTATGAGATTTTTTTTTTTCTTTCATAGCAGAGCATGAATTAGAGGGCAGAGTCTTTACAAAATGCGTTTGTAGAATTGATATTGGCAGTCCTTAGAGCTGAGATTTGCACTAGTAGAGTTAACTGTAGAGTTGCAGGAATAAGTAATTTATTTATGACTGTCAGGAAGTCTCAGTTGTTCTGTTTTTTTTCCTCTAGCTGCTGCCAAGAAAGGTGGTTTCTGACAGAAAGTTAGTTTCCAGCCAATACTAAAACTGAAATGAGAATTGATGGTGCAGGATTTTGTTGTACCCAAAAGGTGGAAGTGTCACTTCAGATGACTTTCCAATATGGTTTCCTGTATCTTAATATAGCAAGTTACTCTGGGTCTAATGAAGCAGATAGTCTTGCTCAGCAGTACTGAAGAACCTTGTTCTTGTATATAAATCAAATGCTAAAAGGAATTCGAAAGAGATGCTTTTATCATCTTCAGTGAAACATTTCATTTGCTAGTTGTATTATTTTTTCTTTTTTTTTCTTTTTCCCACTGTAATTATCTTCCCATTTGATATAGCTTCTAAGATCTGTATAAATACATCCCACTTGCAGGATGATGGCTGTCTTTTAGTACTTTTTGGGGTGGGGAGGATAGAAATGAGGATGGGTGGGTCAAAGCTCAGGAAAGCTCAAAATTCACAACACAGAATTGCTTCTGCAGCTGTTGGGACAGAGCTGTGCAGTGTGTTCCTCTAGCACCTCGATCCTAAACAAACAGGAGGAGGTCTGGGAAGCAGTTGATATCCTGATGTGATGCTAAGGTTGCTAAATGTAGAGATGATCGTCCTTTTTCTCTTGGTAATTTATTGCTTTTAGAAAGTTTATTTTATGGATTGAGCTTCACTTCAGAAAAGCTGTTTTGGCTGCAATGCCCCTCGGGATTATTTTGCACAAGAATCAAATGTGAGATCAGCTATCTGATAAAAGCATATTCGTTTTAAAGTATTTAACAGAGTAAGACAACAGTTCAAAAGTAGGATTTCACTCAACATGGTTACAGCCTTTATTGGTGTCAGCACAACTTCAGAAGTAGCAGAGCTGAGAGCCTGGCCAGCGTGAAGGATACCGGCCACATGGCAGGCAGCGCTTCAGGGCGATGCTGTGCCACCCGGGTAGTTGAGTTTTCTTGAAAAAGCTCACTTGTGTTTTGGGTCCTGATTATTGTTCCCTCTGTACTCGCCTGCTCCACTTACTACTGGTTTATAGTTGTTGAATGTCTCAGAATGCTTGAAGTTGGCAAGGGAGATGTGTAGTAACATAGTAACAAATTTATTCAAGTCTTTTGGCTTGAAACTAGAATTTTTGTATTTCCAATAATTTTGCTTAGTTGTGAAAAGAGTTGCTCAACTACTAATGGCTTTGCACCATTTTGTTTCTGTACTTTTATGGGAGTGGGGAGCAGAGGGAGAAGGAAGGTAGCAGAGCAGGTTGAGTATAAGCTACTTCCTTAACTGCAACATCTGTAGTACAGATGGGGCACGAAAACATTGCACTTTCACAGCTTCACTTGGCATGCTAGTTACTGTGAGCGATATTTTAAGCCCATGAGATGGTTTGCAATACTTAATAGCCTAAGACATCAGGACCCTTCAAAGTGGGCTGGACTGACACTTCAGGCTTCAAGGTTTCTCAGATTTGGGTTGCTAATGTCTTGCAATGCATGCTCATCCACTGGCAGTGTGTAAAAGGAGATTTGCAACCTTACTGTTTTTTCACTTTGTTTTTAGAGTAATAATTTTTTTGGTTTTAATTAAAGTGTATTCTTCCAAGCACATAAAGTAAATTATCTTCTCCATGTTATATAGCAACAGAACTAGCAGAATAATTGCTCAGCTTTTTGTTCCTTAAAATAACTTGTTGACTGATAACAATTCTGTAAAAGTAAGGAGTG